AACTTCTAGAATTTTCGTTCATGTTTGCGTGCAGTAACCGACAGTAACCTGGTCGGAGACTGCTGGATATCCGGATGGTATACTGGCCACATCTTCTTACTCCAGTGTCTGATTTGCGCAAATGAGAAGGCGTTGGAAAGCTTATGAAAGGCTCTATAGTTTTGTATAAACTAATGGAATAATTTCAGAATTTTAAAGGTCCAAAATAGAGCTGAAAATTAACGTCATAGAAATAGTTCTTTTGTCTAAAAAGAAAAATCAAGGAAAAACTTAAAATTTTTCTAAGACACTTAATTTCATGCATTATAACATGAAGTACATCATATCATGAACATATATTCATTTATCAAATCATTAAAAAATGAACACATATATATATATATATATAATTTCTATAAAATGGCATGAACTTGTTTTTAACACCTCAAGTCCTCATCGCGTTCACATTTAAAATATAACTCAACGTAATATTAAAATTAACTAATTGTAATACTATAACATTATTCAAGTTAATTCTTAAAGTCTATTTTTAGAAATTCTGTCAGTTAGAAAAATTGGTGTTACAATTAGTGATAAAAGTAGAGTCCTTATGTGGACTGGAATAACACTGACGTAACAGAGATAACAGCGCAAAGGCCGTCGAATTAGAGGAATACAAGATTGGAGTGAATGCAATATCACCGGGCCTTTTCAAGTTTGAGATAATAGAAAATCTCACGCAGAAATCTGGGTACTGTAAAAGATAAGCAAATCAAGGAAATCAAAGGAAGTCAATGAAGACAGCTCAGACAAACATATTGGATAACAAATCATATACAACTATGTGTGGGAATGAACGTGGACAAGATCACAGATAGAAATATGTATAAACAGAAAGTTGACATTTCTTTGTAATCCTTTGTATTAATCTCATACCATAATTTTCTCCCTATGGTTGAGATTCCTTTCTTACTTTTTTTTTATGCTTTGTCTGCAACGGTAATATTGTAGGAAACAATTATAAAAACCTATGTTACACCACCGTCGAGAAATTGACCACTCCTTTGGACGACAAGCGCCGAGGCCTCCATGACAAGGATCGGTCGCTGGCGTCGAGGGATCAGTTGTAGCTAAGGTGCCCTTCATACGTCGAGAGTTCATGCAGGACGGCGCGCGTCAAGGGCCCCGATGGTGTGGTAAAGGCCACGACGTCGAGGAGGCGGCCATGTCCAATCCAGAAGATAGTCCTGTCAACTCAAGGAAAGACATACTATATCAACTACTACTGCTGAAGTCAGGAAATCAGGTAGCTGGTAAGAGTTATTCGCTGACTTAGGCAGTAATCATGGAAATACAACTGCCTGTTGGTAACCGAATCGAATTCGGATGCGGAAGCGTGGGGAAGGGCGGATCAAGTATAACAAAAAGTTTCGCAAACTTTTGAGATACTCTATAAATTATATTAATTTATGCACGAATAAATTAATCATATTAATTTATTTATTAAGAACTCAATTAGGAAAAATACCTGGAGGCCGACTCGGATGATAACTTGAGTTCTTTGACCACGAATGATCCTTGCTCCAAAGCCTTGTGTTTAGAAAACCAAAGTCTTCCACGTCAATTCCTTGAATCTACGTAGACGTGTGTGTGGGTACACTCGAGACAAAATCAGGTTGGAACAAACACTCAAATTTCTACAAACACCAACGCATGCACGATGTGGAATTTTTGGGAGAAAAATTTTTCCTTCTCTCTCTCTAGGGAATTTCGGCCAGCCCCCAAAAAGTAGGTCAAAAAAAATTGTCACGCGCAATTTTTTATCATATCTTATTTATAGAGTAGAAGTCAAACTTCTAAAAGGAATCAAATCTCTATCTCCTATTTGAATTTGAAACAAAAACTCCTCTACCTTATCCTTGATATGGCCGGCCCTTGTGTAGGGATTCTCATCCCTGTGTGGCGCCAATTACAGATAGGGAAGGAAGAGAAAATCATCCTTTATCCTGTAGTCCAATTTTAAATCAAATTCAAATTCGAATTTAAGTCAAACTTAAATTAATTTGAATTCTAAATTGAACAACTTATCAAATAAGTTTAAAAGGATAAATTTAAATTATGTTCATGATTCAAATTCAAATTTAAATAATCACATTATTTAAATAATAATTAATTCTCAATTAATTATTTTTGAGT